TTGTGTTTTATTGTATTATTTATTTATTTCTATTTTCTATTCTATTTTTCTGTTTCTCTCTGTTATAGACTGGTAACCACTCCAAGGTGATCCCTATTTTCTCAAAGGGATAGGCCACACTACTCTGAAATAGTGGTTATAAAAAGGGATGAATGGCTCTTTTTTTCTTTTTTTACTTTGATGAGTTATTCTACGGTACGTTTCTACATGTTTTGCTTGGGAAATAGAAAATAGCTGCAAGGATTTACTGAAACGTGTAAAAATACATGGCAATAAAGTTTGCAGGGAAAACATTGTGTTTGTAAAATTTAACCCGTTTCAAGTCAAAATTTGGTATGATTACCTTTTTTTCTTCACAGCTTAAACTCTCTTATGCAAAGATCTTGTAATTTCTTTAAGTAGTCTTCAGGAATAGTTCTCCAGGCTTCAAAGCTCTTCTTTGGATGTTGGCTGTGGATGATCTCACACTGCTTCAGTATTGTTGAGGTCAGAGCTCTGGGGAGACACATCCATGACTAATATTATTAAATGGTTAATGTTTTTCTGTCTAGCTGTGTGTTTATTGCATTGGCAGCAAGTTCGGGATCATTGTTGTGCTAAAAAATTAAGCTGCTGCCAATGTGTCTGAGGTGTGTATTGCATGAGGGGTCAAAATCCAATGGTACTTTTCTTTGTTCATAATTCGATCAATTTTGTCAGGATCTCCAAAACCACTGACTGCAGTGCAGCTCCAAACCATGACAGAGCCTCCACCATGTTTCACACTCTCTGTTGTGCCTCTTTCCTGACCTACTCTGCACACACTAACGAAAATTTGAACCAAAGTTTCAAATCTGGATTCAAATTCTAAAAGACCTGTTGCCCCTGATTTCCAGTTCTTGTGTAATTTGGCATTTTTACCTCATCCTTTTTTTCTCCATTTCCCCTTCTTGACAGCCATCCTTCCACTGAGACCATTTCTGTGCAGACGTCAGCAAAGAGTAAGCGATTGGCTGAAGATCTGGATCTCTGGATCTCTCTGGTCCCATGTTAGGCTGCCAATATAATTCTCCTATTTCTTAAGAACATTATTTTAAAATATTGTTCATCTGTTCTGTATTGTTTTTAGGCCTACTACTTCTTTTTTTTTTTGCCATCCAATTGACCAGTTCTGTCACTTTTTCAAAGAACACACTGCACACCATGCCGAGATATGCCAAGATTTCAGCTATTAGCTTTTTGAGATTTGGGTTTTTGGTGTAAAAATATTATTTTATGCCCATAAAACTGTGTTGTCTTTGGCACATTTCATAGATTTGACCGAAGAAAAGTGAACAAATGATATGTTTTTGCAACAGGCTGCTAGTAACAAAGTGCCTAAGGTTGTCTGTATGTGTCGACACAACACTGGTTCATTCCTTGAGTTAGTAGCCTTTTTGATTCTTCAATGATAGATAGGTTGATGGTTTAAAAAAAAAAGGGGAAAAAAAGAAAAGAAGTGAGGGGTAGCTAAAGACTTTTTCACAGTACTGTACTTAATCTAGTCTATGTTTTTCACCATTTTGGCTGCTGTAACACATGATTTTTCTAACATTTTTTATTTTTTAAAAAGTATATTTTATCTTAAATTGATTAACAACATACCTGGACAGGTCAAAATTCACTCATTTGCAGCTAATAAAAAAATAATAACAGCAGAATCAAATTA